GCGCTCCCTCTTGCTCCCCCTCCCCCGCGATGCCAATGTCCCAATCCCAATACGCACCAAATAAAGGACATGTTTTTTTTAGTACCAGTGAGCTTGGTGAACAATGTTCTTCCTGCAAAGACGTTAAAATTTAATCACAATGTAGATGCACGCGGCACTCTGCGTTGTCACTAATATCCCTCAGCAAAGTCACTCACAAATAATGTTGATGAAGCACCACAGAGCTACCACAGGCTTTATATAAAAATTGTATTCTTTCTGTCAGTATTTGTACGTTTTTGCGTCGTTCAACATAATTATGATGCATAATTCATTTAATTGTTTCCACAGAAATTGTTTGAATTTTCAGAGAAAAAATTCTACTTGGAATATCTGAAAAATACACCTGAAACCTCTGATAAACAACGGACAAAAATATTGTATTTATGTACATGTTGTCTTTGGAGTGAACTTGTAACTGGTACTCTGTGTGGGTATACTGCAGTAATGAATACCAAAACTGTTAAAGTACCTGGTACCATTTTTGCACGTTGCCAAGCAATAGTTTTACCTAAGTTCTTGTGTGCAGGTGGCCCGAAATAGCTTACACTCCGTCATCACACGATAATTGTTCATAAAGTTTAATAAAAGTGAAGAAAATGCGGCATAATTGGGTGACCATGGATATGCAAGTATTCAGTGGAGGCATCTTCGATGAAAAAGAATGAACGGGAAAAGTCATATAGAAAAAATCCACAGGAGTCTTGAGCTCAAATACGAAGGGACGGTTTACCTCCCATACTGTTTTAGTCAGCCTCTGAAGTTCCCTAGTTTAGTATGCTTTGCCTTTTTGTGAAAGTTTCCTTAAGAACTGTTTCTTAATGTGTTCGTTGATAGGTTTCACACATAAGTACGATTATCCTGTTGTTATATTAAAAGAAATGGCACTGGAAATCGTATAAAATTCAAGTGTCTTAAAATAAAGTCCGAAACTCACAAAGGCTTGTCCGGAAATTGGGCAGAAAAATCCAGCGCACTTTTAATTAACAAACCTTAGTAAATCGCCCAAATGATATACAAATACCATTTTAAAGTGGAAAGTATGATAAAAAAAATATTATCCTCATCCATACCCTCAGTTTAGTGATTGTGAAAAAAAGTACCCACCGACGTCGTTTTGGAAAGGATGGTTACAGTTCCCCCGAGTACCACTTTCTGTACCTTAGGGAATTATTAATGTCCAAAATGCTGGAGGAAGAAAATAACCTGCCATAGTGGAAGACAGGTATCTTCAACAATTCAGAGTAAACAGTGCAGGGGCTGTTAGTGTTGTGGCACCACACTGGCCTATTTTCTCGAAATTTGAGGCATGTTTGCACTATGGCGAGCCAGTACTCCCAATTGGTCGAAGAGGCATCCAACACATGTAGATCCCTTGCCCATGAGTATCGTGCCATTGCGGTAATGGCTTCTAATTCTGTTTCCCCGGATTAGTCTACCTCATGGGAGAGAAAATGGTGCCTCCGGCTTCAGGTATATGTGCACAAACAAATATGATATTCTGCCAAGACTTTTGACACTTTAAAACCCCAATATTAATATTGGTTATTAATATTGGTCATTAGAATAATATCAAAATTGGTTATTAGAATTAATATTAACATTGGTTATTAATATTAATATTGGTTATTAATCTTAAGATTGGTTATTAATGTAAATATTGATAGGGGTTATTAATATTGGTTATTCAGCATAGGTGCATGTAAAAAAATTGTGGCCTATCAAGTTGATTTAGTTGGTTTAGTCTTTACTGTGCATGTACAAATAGTGCTAATATAGATACGTGTATCTAGGCATCCTACATAAAATTAAGCACCTCAGAGAGTAGTCACCGAAACACTATACCAACTCCACCATCTACACATATTTCTTCAGTGTGCTTTGACTGTTTCATTTTCATTTGAATGATTTTTTTTATCTTATTAAATTATAGATCTATTTAAAGTAGGCATTCTAGAGTCACTCTGTATGTTAGAGAAGATCTAACCCACACAGCTTGTAGCTTTCTTACATTTGTTCTAAAAAATCAGAACACTTGAACATTAAAATTCTAGACTGTTTACTTTGGAATACCCTGACAATCTGTAATTTAGTATAAAGGCTAAAAGATTAAGTATTTTGCATACATGATTTGGGATGGCTTTAACTTGTGTGGTTGTGAAAGAAAAATTAGTAAAATCGTTTGATGTAAACAAGGAATCATTTGAAGATCTAAATGGTAAAAGACAGAGCTCCATCCTTTGATACATTGAGTTCCAAGAAAAAGTGTAAATGATGAATGACAGAATTCTGGAATCAGCTACAGTACCATTGAACAGAAGTTTCACAAAATATTCTTGCATTTTATACATCGAACATCTTTTGCTTTTATTTGAAAATTCTAATGGAAAAAAAAAACTTGGGAGGAAATTCAGTGGTATCACTATGGGATTTCCTGTTTGCTTCTTGAAAGTGTGTGCAGATTTCATCCGAGTTAAAGTTATCTGGCTTAATTCTAATCATTTTTTGCAAGGATGAGGTCCTATAGCAACATCCAGGTACTTTTTAAATTATTCCCCAGTAGCCATCCCTTTTCCACTCCCATTTCTAATTTCAGTTCCCTAGTGACTGGTCAATTATCCCGAAACAAATTGTGTTTGTACAGTGGATGTCCTCCCACAGGATTTTCTGTGGAATTGGCAATGTTCACGAAGATGATGATGAATGTAAACATGAAAAGCCAAGGAAGATTCAGGATTCTCTTGTTTGTTTTTCCCCAAGTGTGCTTGTTAGCAGGTAATGATTTCATAACATGTGCTTGTTAATTTCCTCTGAGATGGACGAAAAAATCCAACCCATCTTTTCCAATGCATAGTAGGCCTTCTGGTAGTTATGAGCTGCTTTTTACCTGGTGTTCCCTTTAACCATTGATTCAGACATTTGTGATAATACGTTTTTAACTTGTCACATTTGTCCATGATTTGTTTTTGTACAGCAGTTTCGTAAATGTCTGACAAGAAAGTTACCAGAACTCATGTTGGTGTAACTGCCATTACCATGGTTGTATTTGCGAAGAATTTTGCATTTTGACCAAATGCACGATAAGATGGAAGCCATGGTGCAGGTGTGTGGTCGCGTTTGACAGAAGTATAAACAGAGATTCTTCTGATGTGTATACCTGTCAGACAGAGGAACAGACTTGCAAGGTGGCTGCCACAAAAAAGTTCAGTGGGACTTCGTCACTAGTTTGATATTTCAGTGCTAAATGAATGACTTGACCGCTCTGAGTGGTCCACGTGTTTATTTACAGTGCATAGTCCTATGGGTGGATAATTTACTGTATTCACTTACCAGCCACAAAGTGATATTTGATTGACAAGTACACCTTGAAAGAATTGCAGTAAGGATGGTGATAGGTATACAGAATTGAAAAAAATTAGCTGAGTCTGGAAAGAGTAGAGAACACGAGAAATAATATAAATTTTTTTCTCTTTTATCATGTGTAACCAAAGAATGACCCTCCAAAGTGACTACAAGTTGTTGCCCAAAGGCACACGTGGAAATACCACATCAAAAATGAAGCACAAAATGCAATTCATTAAAGTGCACATGGTGTTATTCACATCTACATTTACCAAATTCAGCTGTCTTGTTCCCCAAGGCGTATGCATACACGTGCATGGAGACCATCCTAAATTTAATGAAAGGAAGTTGTCCCCGCAGGCTCTGCTAAATCAACATCATTTGTATTGTTGTGCCCAGTTAACTTATTTTTTTGTTCAATGATATTATAAACTTGCTTGCAGCTACAAGTATCAACTGCATTGACACTTGTGTACTAGGAGTCTGCCTCCACAGACACATGTGGCTACCGATTGTTACGTTGATGAAACTGGTCATAACGTGTACCCAGTCATGTAGATTTCTTTTCATGCTTTTGGATCACTCCTAACTTCCTGAGACAACAGTACATGTAGGTTACTCTTCCCTTTTTGACAGGATGTACATAGAAATCATTTACACTGGAAATTCTTCAGGCTTGTGGTCACGTGTATTTTGGTATGTTGGTAAACTAGGGAGGAATTTTTCAACCTGCAACTGCGTAGTTCTGTAGACTAATTTATCAACCACTTGTGGGAGACATTACAAATCAAGGTTATATCTTCGTCAGGTACATGACACATGCATCCTTTAATTTTAGTTGGCTTGCATGGATTGCTGTCAGTGTGATCAAAGAAGCACTGAGTATGCAACAGGTACTGTACAGTGTGGAACCACATCAGAAGGGTTTCAGTTGTCAGATTAGATAACCAGGTACAGGTTGTTCCATGGTCACACCTTTCATCCTTTGGAGTGGTTATATTTAGATATAGAGCTTGTGCACTCTAGGTAACTGCATATGGACAAAATTAACTTTCTTTTGCATTTGGTGTTTGAAAGACAGTTGTCACCGAGTTCATTACACTCTGTAAAAACTCATCATTACCTGCTCAATCATTCTACATTTTGTAAAATTTGACGTCTGTATTTGAGTATGGTGTGACGAAAAGAAATCAGGGCTTCCATAGTGAATTCTATGGTTCTCATATTTTGTTGACCTTGAGAGAGGGTAAGGCAGTGGAGGAAAAAAACTTATTACTTGCTTGTCCCCACAAACTCTTAAAATTAGAATTTTTCTTTCTCTCTTTGGTAGGAAATTCCAGACAGGCAGGTTGGCAGCCTAAAGAAAGTTTCTTTTCCCCTTGATTGGAGCCACCCTTATTGGAACAATAAACCTTTGTTATGTGATCTGTTGATTGTGTATGTGTGTGAATGGCATGGAGTGAGTAAGACCAACCTTCAGGTGCAGGGAGCTCACTCGAGCTGAGGTATACTTCATGTAGGGTCTCAAAAATGTAATGTCTTCCATTTTCACCCCTTCATCATCAAACACAGTTGCCCACAGAATCCACAAAGTTAAGAGTAAGTTTTTCTGCAAACAGGTGGTGAATGGTAAAGAGGAAGCCGTGCCTACAGGAGAGACAGAAGATATACCCTGTAGTCTGGTGCTGCGGAGTATTGGCTATAAGAGCCTCAGTCTTGATGCTTCAGTGCCATTTGATGAGCACCGTGGGGTAATACGCCACTCAGAGGGGAGGGTCACTGAAGTAAAAGGTTTGTACATGAAGCTGTGCTCAACTGAATGAAACGCACACATGCTGTGATCTCCGCACATATCCGGGGAAACACCACTCCCATCATCAGTGCACATGGATCCGCTTATGTGAGAGAGCACTAAAAAGAGTTGACCTTACACAATGTGCACATAATTAGTGAACTTGCCATGTATGCATCTGTCCACTCGCTTTTAATCAAAACCCAAATTGCCCTCAGGCCTAATAGTAAGAAGGCAAATAACCAAAGGGTACAATGTAAGTTACCTAGAAACGCAAGCACTTGGGAAAAACACTTGAAATGCAAATGGTGCTCAAGTGAGTGTACGTTCACAAGAGACAGGAGTGTAATACAGCTATAAATGTACATATGTGTAATGCAAAGGCACATTTCCCCCATGGCACATCTATCGCCGTGCAGGATCTTTTGCTGAATCAGAATCATGTGTTTCATGATATACTCTGCAGCCAACTTAGGAAACCGAATGGAAATACAATTCGGAAAAAAATTTCTTGTACCTTAGCTGAAGGACCATCAGGTGCACGGAGTTACGCCTGCACGTGCACCAATTACTTTAGGTTACTGGACCTAAAGTGCAAAGTCTCCCCAGTATGAAAATGAATTTCAGGCCTAAACTTGCAGCCAACATATAGTTCAGGCCTTAATTGTATTCCAAAGCTTAGCACAACAGGTCGGTTTAAACTTCTTCCTTAAATCATACAGTTTTTAATATCCAGTATTTAAAAGTAGTTCTTGCAGTTGACCATTTTGCCATCATGTAAGTTGTCGAAAACCCCTTTATCAGAGTTTCAATTAAAGGATTATTGAGTAGGAAAATAGGATTTTCATACAAAAAGAGATTCCGATGCTCAAGTGACAGGTTTAAATTTATTTGTGGAGAAGTGGGCATACCCAGTATACTGCTGGACCACAGAGTCCACACAATAAAATAGGATTAGTGAATGATACTGCAGGCTGTCCAATGGTGCAATGAGAGTCGACGCCCACTGCCTGTTGCCTGTGGCGGTGGATTACAAAGTTAATCCGGTTGTTTGCGCAGTGTGAGGCAGCCCCTCCTACTGTCTTCCTCATGGAAAGCTACGCCTAAGGCACCGCCAGCTGCGCCACACGTGTACAGACATGTCAGGTAGCATTTGGGAGCCGCTTGCGCCTTTTGTTTTGCAACGCAGCTGCCAGCCGTGACTTGATGACCTAAAGCTGGACTTCCCGGTGCCATCGTCAGTGTACAGCAACCTTAGGATCTATCTGCACATTTAGACTATCTGATATTTAGGTTATTATGTAACATTGATTAGGTATCCGCCTTTTACTCAACACATCTTCATATATTCATTTTATCATGTCCCTCCCTAGTTTTATTGGCACATATACATCAACTGGTACCTTTTTTCCTAGTCTGGTATGTGTGTTACAGTACTTCATTATGCTCTTGTACAAATACATGTACCATTTCATGAATTTTGAATGATTTCAGAAGAAAATGTCCTTATTGCCTTAACCAACTCGCAGTATAAAAAGTGAGCCAGTTCAATATTCTGACAACGCATGCACAAAATAATGCACGTACGTCATGGGTCATTAGGATTTGCAATATAACGGTTTGCGAGGTCGGACACACCATCACGGTTATATGCTTGTCTTTCTGACTGAACACATCAGAGCTGATGTGATGTGAGGTACTTTTTATTTTGAATGTCTTTTCCTCCGTTATATACTTGGGCTGAACTGAATTGGGGCCTAGCAAACAATATTTAGTATTTTATTGGGGATAGAAGAGACAAAATGAGATTACAAGTGTGCTGCCAGTACTAAAATACAAAAGTCAATGAGACTTGCAGAAATACACAGCTTTAATTGATACCATTTGGAATAAGAAGTGTCAAATTGGCAAAAGTGTAAGTTCACCGCGACATCAAGAAAAAGTGCACAATATTCATAAATTCTTCTTTTCTCTCTTAATGTCAGAGAGCTTCTAATCCATTGCCAGATACTGTCACTGATAACAGGGCATCGAAAATCAGAAGAGACAGGGATTGTTGATAACACTTTGGTAACTGATCGTGATTACCTGTGTGAGATGTTAACCAGTTAAAAGTCGTCAAGTGCAGAGCAGTGGTATGACACGACCACTTCAGACTGTCAGACCCTCTGCAAACAATCAATCATGACTCAAGGGTGGCAGTTTGTTGGCTCTTCCAATCGGGCAGAGATTTCCACTCGGCCAAATACCTATTCGAGTAGTTTAGACAATCTGTTGTCAAAATGAGCGGCGCTTAATTAACCGTGAAAGTGAAAAAATGCCAGCGCCCTACAGTACAGCAAGGGACTTTAATCAGGCTTGTTGTTTGGGACTTGTTATGAATTTTCGGCTGTCTTGTACGGAATTTGTCAAGCAGCGCGTTCTCACGTCAGGTCATGTGCTCTCACACAAATGGTACATGCCACCTGATGACATACAGAGTGTACTGACAATTTTTGTGATTTTGGTGTGGCAGTTGGTGGTGATTGCTTGGTATGCAATGTATGTATGTACTTGTGGATGAGTGGAGAACTGATCTATTCCACACAGCTGTGTGTGGTGCAACTAGGAATCACCTCTCGTAAAACAGTACCAATGTTCTTCTGTCTATATAAGGGAGTTCAGGACGTTAAAGTCACCATAGCTTTGAACTTCCCAAAGATGACAGAGGGAAAGAACAGGCAAAAGGAAACATTAACATTGCAAAATGGGTGTAGATGTAACTAATGAGTGTAGGGCAAAATCCAGTGTAAAGATTTGTACATGTATACATTCACCTTCCGATCAATGCACTATTCTTGAGTTGTTATCAAATTCACCAGTGTACGAGATAGTCAAAGCCGTTATTCATTGGCAACTTACAAAACGTCTTCACCTGATGAGTTTCACTCCTCCATATTTATCAGCGCAATATACGTGACTCTCAAGATTGGCCGGAAGTGCATTATACACTTGTGTCATGCATTCTGGCTTTGGAAAACAAATTGTTAGCTCAAAGGAGATTTGGGTGCGGTGGTGGTGCGTCCATGCTCCAGGGGTGAGGGAGTGTGACTGATTGGGCTGTGCATAGTGGCTTAGCTCAATTGCCATTTGAACGATTTAGAGTTCAAGCCCCCTCTGGCATTTCAGGCAATTGTGAGAAAATCAGGTTTTTGCTGTATCCTAGCATCTTCTCTGCTGGACTATCGCCGCGGGTGCAGGAGACAGTTTAGCCCACTTTTAGTAGCTGAATATATTATCTCTTTCCGTCAAGTGAGATTCTATACTGAGAGATTCTTTGAGACACGACAGGCCTACATATTTGTGCGTAAAATAATACACATTTGAAATGTAGTGTTTTTTTGTTGGATTTGTAGTGGAAAGAAGTCATCTTCAGTTGTCTTGCAGGTAAGATCTGTGAAATTTTTGAAATGGTAGCAGCAATTTCAGGAAGGGAAACGCTACAAGATATGTAAGAGTTAAGGATCTTTTTGACTGTTGTTTGACATTGTGCAAAGGAGGTTCGTTTGTAGTCACTGGTATATCGTCCAAGTGTATCCTGTGGTGGTGCCCGCCTTATTGTCTCAAAATCAGACTGCACTATTTTTGGGATGGCTGTGGTGCAATTGACACTTCAGTTCCACTTTTTGAAAGTGAAAGACCTATAGGCATCGGAGCACAACTTGATACCCGAGGAGAGGCGGGAGAAATTTGGCGCACAAAACCTCAGCACTCGGCATGTGCTAAACATCTGGTTTGTCACAATTCAATGCGATCTTTGGTGGGAATGTTATTGGAAGTCATCCCTCGGCTATGAGAAATTCACTAGCACCACGCCTCCGGTGGGTCTAATTTCATCCTCGGATGAAATAAGGAAAGCGAGTTTGGAAACAATGAGGTGAAATTCAAGCATCCCCGTGGTAGGACTCGCCTGCATCGGTGGGATCAAGTTAATGGCGTCCCAAAGATGCATGAATAGTACCCTGTGTTATCATCTTGAAACGAAAACCTACGGCAAAGTTATTGGAGAAGAGTGTTAAAGCTGCGTCAATAAAGGTGCGGAAGAAACATGGGCTCTTAACAACAAATTGATGAACAATGCGCAGAGTTCTTTTTTATTTCCTTTGAAAAGTTTTGTTCGAAAGTCTGGTATATGCTTCAAAAAGTTTTGTTAGAATTTCTTAGGCTGTGTTGAAGTTCGTTTCCCCGAACCGCATGTATTTGTATTGTATGAGGCAAAAAGTTATTTGTGTTTCAACTTTCCAGGAACTAGTCTTCCAGAGAGGAAAGTTCAAACTTGATACGTGTTTGCTTCTTGCCAAAACTTGCTACAAAGGTTATACCACAAGTCAGTCATGTTACTACAGATCTGTAACTTTTTCGAAAAGTTACTGTTCAGAAGCTGTGTGAGGTGTTAAAACAATGCACCTTTAACTGGGATTCAGTTATGAGTCACTCTGGTGGAATGATATGGAGACACTGGCCAGGAACCTGGTGCATGACGACTGTTAACCCCCAAAAAGAACAGGGATGTGAAATAAGATTATAAAACTCCATTTTGAATTTGGCAGCTCTACTCGGGACTGCTACCAGCATGCTGAAGTGTAATTTTTTTTCAGTTGAGACCTCTCCCACATCATTTACAAATGTGAAAACAAAACCAAGCAGACCATTATTTTCTGCTTTTATCCAGTTTCTAAAGTGACTTCATCACAAAGGGGGACGTGCCACAATATGCAGGCTCCCATTGGACGATGGCTGAAGTTGTGCGTTAAATTCTGGTTCCATGGTACCATGTAAATGGCTATCAATGCATGTAACTCTGTATGCAGTGCAAGTGCAGTAGGTGTGGTTCAAACTGAAGTGACGTCACACTTATGAACTGGATATTGATGTTAAAGAGCTTTTTCTTTTTCAAAAATCCTTTCAAACACACTGCAGTTGTCAGTCCATGAAGTCTCCAAAGATCACATTTGCCCCC